AACTGGAAATATGCGAGCAGCTCAGCTTCCCTTTGCCGATATCCTGTCACATAAGGTTTTTGTTGACACTTTCGGCAAGGACGCCGTGCGACTATACCACACCAATAGTGTGTCCTTGTCATTGTCACGGACTGGGCTAAGTGCAAGGGGTCAATGGTGGATGAGGATTGGTGGGGAAATTAAAGGCCTAAGGAATGGTTTGGTAAGGAATGAACTGGAGTGTAGGTCAACAGTATATTTAAACTTCTTGCTGCCATACAAATAAAGTGAATTAGAGCTTTCTGGAACTTCAGGTTCAGTTATCGATGTCTCCAATATATTGTATGCTCAGTATCGGTTTATTAGCTAACTTTGTGTTTGGAAATATATGATCTAAGGGAGTCTTGGAATATATACTCATGACAGTGTTAACAATTTGTGTATCAATAATATTCTCTATGAAAGTTCTATCGTTTCTAATGTCATTTGAGCTAAATTTGTTTTCAGTAGATGAAATTTGGTTAACTTCCCTTTTCGTTTGAAACTTCGTTAGTTGTATTTGACAACCTTCAACATTCAGCCACTGAAGAGCGTCAAGTCTTAGGTCTTGTTTGTGCCTCCATTGCTGTAAGTTTGAATGATTCATGGGGCACTTTTGCATCTTAAATACACGCTTAAATAGTTAGAAAAGATGGCGGAGCTTGGCAAAGACTCAATTTAAGTCTATATGATGCGTTTTTCAACGTAGTTTTTCTAGCTACATAGCGTTACTGTGGTTCTTAGAATGATTATGTGAATTTACTGGGTTTTTTATATATTTCAAAAATATCATTTTTTCTTGTTTATCTATTTACTAATGCACGGTTAAATTTCTCTAAAATACCTCTTGCAGATCTATGGGTGTGAACGAGATGTGCAATTTTTACATGATGTTTTACTATAATGCTACAAGAGAGAATCCATTCCCGTGGGGAGCAGTTTGTGCTGGCCGTGATCGAGTTGTAAGGGTGTTGTTACGTCTTGCTGAAATTTCTCGCGTTTAATTGCGGTATCTACTGTAGGAGGAGATACAAAAGGAATATCCCAAGGAAGGCACACAGTTACTTCCATCTCATCCGGAACTTGAACATCATGCCCGCCAAAGCTCGGTAAG